AGGGTATTTCCAAATAAAGCCTGTAAAAAGCGCTAAAAACAGTACAAGAGTTAACTGTCAAAACTTAGGTTCATTGCACATAAAGGAACAAAAACTTACACGATATGCTCGTCTTGTTTTGTAGGGCAGGAAGTGCTATAAGACACTACCTCAAAAGCCTGTGACTAGTTTCCATAGCAACCATTTTGCAATAAAACCTTCACAATTTATTTTCTCGTAAGATAGCTCAAAACAGTTTCTAGCGGTTAGATTTTGATGGGTCAATATAACCGCTCTGTATCAGTTGATGCTAAAATCACGGTATTAGAAAACTGCCCAATCATTGGTGAACACGTTGTTATCATTTTCTTGACACAATAGGTTACCATAGCAACAGTATGACCTGCTAAGAACATGTACAGATTATTTTAATAAAACTTTGCCAAAAGTTGCGTTTTATCATTCTTATTGAAATTAATAATATAAAAAAAATTCAACGTGCCGTTTGTGAATTGAAGCCCCTAAAGCGGTAATTAAGGGTGTTCTTAGCAGGTCGTACAACGTGTTCACCAATGATTGGGCAGTTTTCTGACACCATGATTGTAGCATCAAATGATAAAGAGTGGTTATAATGACCCATCCAAATCTAAGTGCTGGAAACTGTTTTGAGCCACCTTAATGAGTGCATGCAATTGATCTTTCCTGACCATATTTAAACAAACTTTTTGCCGGTCCCTTTTAGGGGAGCCTTCCACCTTAACCAACGCGAAAAGGGCCATTGTATTAGCTGATATTTAGGCTACGATCACGTAGGTCATATTAAGTGTACGTTGGTATCAATGATCTTTCTGTTTCGAGCACTAAATATAATTCGATATTTGTTCCGGTCTGCCCTTGAAAAGGGAGCGCTGGGGTTTTAGGTTTTACGGTTTTGGTCACTTTTTTGATCGGTTTTTAGGTTTTTGCTCTTAATCCGGTTTTTCGGTTTGGTATAAGTGGCGGTTTTCAGTTTGTATCCTTTTCAGCATTCAGTTTTTCGTTTTCGGTGATAAGAAAAATCGGGTTTTCGGTTTTTCCTCTTAATCCGGTTTTTCGGTTTGGTATCAGTGGCAGTCTTCGGTTTATTTCCTTTTCAGCATTGGGTTTTTGGGTTTTGGTGATAAGGAAATCGTTTTTTTTTTCAGTTTTGTTTGATTATTTACTTGGCTACTGGTTCCACTTCTTCGTAATTGAGACCTGCATTGCAACCAAATTTGGTCCAGATGCGTTCTACACGAATCAGTAAATATTTTTTAATTGGAGACTGTAAAAATCTTCTCTTCATGTATATATACAGCTCTATTGTTTACTTGTACCTTTTATAATTTTGTTGTACATTATAATTACTTTTTTCTTTCTTTTCTTTTTAATACTGTTGCCCCCGCCTCGATTAGTTCTGGAACTAGTTGCGGGGGCAAGTGTTACGAAAAATTGTCTAAGTCAATTTCTAGAACAAACTAGAACCGGAAGTCATTCAGCCGTGACCAATTTGTATAAGAACATTCCAGAACATTCTGATCCTTATGTAATTACTCAGATTAGAAATTGTGTCAAACTACTTAATTTAGTTGCAAATAGAAGTTTCTAGAACTTTAAGCTTCATGTATATTAGAGCGAGCGTTTGTTCTGTGAGAGAGATTGATTCAAATTTGAAGAAGCTTAGTGCCGTAAATTCGTGAAGTTACCTTACGGAAACAAATTAATTTCTTGCTGTTACCAGCGATCCTGAGTTCTGTCTGGAAACAACCCTGCTCTTCAACGATACTCGTAACAGCAAGCAATTCTTGTAACTATATGTAAGCAAATAAACTAAAATAAAATAGAATTGAAATGAAAATTGAGCCTCAGCCGAACAAGAAACGATGATCAAAGTACATCGTCTCTTACCTCGAAGTTGAAGGAAATGTAAAAAGATACAACCGGCAATGATTTCAAGTGAAAATGTCTTAAGACTCTTCATCCCTCAAAAAGGAAATATGTCTTTCGCTGCCATATCAAGCTTGACGCTTTAGGCCCCGACCACACTACGCCGGAGGAATTTGAAAACGCAGCTTTATTTGTGCGGTTAGGCCTACCGTTTACTCTATATCCGACGCGAAAATGGAGCTTCTCAAAAACGATGACTTCACGATAATCATGTGATTTCCCTGACTGAGTTATCCTCAAGCACAAATCTAAAATGACGGATGATTGATGCGTTTTCAAATTTCTCCCACGTAGCGTGGCATTGATGGAAAACATTTCATGCGTTTTCAGAGTGAAAACGTCGTTTTCAAGCGCCGTTTTCAAATTTCTTCGGTATAGTGTGGAAGGGGCTTTAAAATTTGTGAATTTGTACGTTCAATCATTTTGTGTGGCAGTTTTCAGATTTGAGGGTTTTTATGGCGGTTTTTCAATTTACAAAGAAATTTTGAGCGGTTTTCAGGTTCCTAGTAGGCCCCAATGCCTCTTTCCTTGAATTTGAACGCTAGGAAAAGAGCGTTTCGCAAAAAAATTGAATCTTAATAACTACAACGTTTACTCGTTTAATCCTTTTCTTCTTCTCGACAAAATTCCTTTTCGTTGCTGGAGCCCTTTTTCTCAAGTTAGTTTTTAGTTTTTAACACCGCACTGTATTGACACCGAACCAGGAGCCATAATCGGGGACCGTTCCCGATTATGGCTCCTGCACCGAACAGTTGTATTTTCGATCTCTTTTAGTCTTAATTAATTTATTCTATTTCACATCTTTACTTTTAAAATAAATGGTGCCAAGGTGACACCGAAACGTCGTTCCGTTTTTTCGCTTATTTTTATTGCCAACTGTATTTCAAAATTTAATGTTAATAGTTTATCAACGACAGTATAATTTACGGGCACCGACACGAAGAGCTAATATATCCTCCGTAGGAAATAAGATGGCGACTGGTTAGCGCAGGAAAACTTTAACAACGCTTGTAAGGAAGTTCAGAAAATTTCTAAAAACCTTCAAACCCAGCATACACAATGATGTTAACACAGGGACAAATATTGCAAAAATGTGGCTTTCCATTTACTTTAAATACAATGATGCAAGGGACCGCAAATGAAAATGCTACCGGTATACGTAGGATCTGTAAAAGATCTTATCAGCCTAAAATAGAAACATAGCAATGAAGCAAGGCTGATTACTACGAAGAAAGCTTAACGGGACAACGACATGATAGAGCCCAAACTGAAAGCCAAGAATTGCAACCGTGGACTAAGTTGTTCAGTTTTGCAAGCTGTGTAAACCTCATATGGCGTTGTGGCAAAATATGCAGCCGCTATCGTTTTTCCCACGGAGGATTGAATTCGTCTCCGGCCACAAAGGAAAAACATGCGCATTTTAAAACAATTTTTCTTGTTGAAGGCAAATTTACATCTCTTCTTTTTTCGCAGCAGAAATGTTTCGTATTCTTCTTCCCGACAATTTTCTTGTAAACATTTGCCCACCACCAGAAACATCACCCGAATTTAGACACAATTGAAAGTGTGGGGGTGAATCGAACAAACAAAATTTAACCAGCCGGCAAGTATAGCCCACGGGCAACATCCAGTTTAGGTTAATCTCGGTGAGTGTCCAAGGGTTTCCTAGCCAACATGAAATCGGCTGGGAAGAAAATTTGACATTTGTCAAGGAACAGATCTTTTGTGTACCCCCAAACAATTTGATACAGCAAAGGACGCTGAAAGGCACAGTTTTTCGGCCATGAGGACCGACCATGGTAACATTTGTTTTTTCCCCCAGCTTTGTTGAATAAAGAAAACGTGGCTGGTATTGTGTGAAACCTGTCCTCGCGGCTTAGATCGAAACAAGCGCTGTCTGGTGGCATTGATTTGTTGTATACTTAACTGATTGTGACAAAATTCAAGACTGAGATATTTTTCAAATAAATTTGTTGATTATCGTCCTCTCGAGTTCTGTAATTTTGGCGATGTCCCCCTCATCGATATCCTTGATGATAAGATGATCGATATCCTTGATGATAAGATGATCGATCTCTAATTCTAACTGGTCATTTAATTGTTGTATACTTAATTGTGAAACAGCCACTCAGGATGTGGGTTACTCCCATATATAAGCTATATAGGTATGTGCCACTGTGAAGGGTATGGTTTTCAGGCAGTTCAGTCTGGGATAGGGTATAGAAATCAGACAGTTTTGGTATAGAATAGGGTGTAATGTACCGGAAAAGTGGCCAGTGTATAAAGAATTTAGTCCAGAAGAGGGTTCTTTACCTGGGGTTCTGTAATAGAAATTGAAACTCGAAAGTGACTTTGTAAGATATGGTTTAGTTAGCGTAATGTTGTACTACGATAGTGATAAAGTTACTGCACGGAAAATAGCCACTGTGGGGTAGCGTAGGGATTGTTGTTGCCTAGTCTAGAATAGGGTTGGAAAATCGAGCTGATCATGGGTTTGATTCAGTGTCCCGCTGTCCAGCGGCACACGCCCACCCAGTGATTTTCAGAGTACCCCCCGGGTACAACCAAAGGTTTGTTCAAGTAGTTTTGTTGCCTGTCATGCTCTCACGCTTTGTGACCTTTGTATTAACAGCTGTCGTCTCGTCATCGATCTCCTTGAAAATGTCTTTACTGAGTCAATAACAATAACATTTTACTTCAAGAGCTGTAAATCTGAAAAGAAAAATACTATTTCCGCAGCGGTCAAAAAATTTGTTCTTTGGTCTCTATGTGGTTCTGTCACGCGACTTAGGTGGAAAAGTGAAAAGTGTTGTGGTTGGCAATCAGATCATTCATGTCCGGTCATATCATTTTCTCTGACCAAAAGTAATGGCCTCCTACTGTGTACAGTCCACTGCAGGTGTCCTTCATGGAAGAGTGGATAAAGTCGATAAATATCAGCATTCGATCGCTGGTTAATTTTGTAAAATCTTTTCTATTTAGCTCTATTACGAAAAGGCAATTTGCTTATTCTTCGCGGCTTTCGCTGTGAACAATTTACCTGCGGATCCTTTTACTTTTGGTTGTTCGCTCACGCCGTTAATAGTTCTGCCACCCTCGCTAATCAAACCATTGGTGCAGTGTTCTTATAAGGGTGTGCACAGCTGAAATATTTATGAGTATGATAGGCCCGGCTTTGTGGGTTTATAAGCAGCTGTAGGTCACTGGACTATTAAACACGTGCTATGCGCGTGTTGGTTGACTTACGCAATATTCTTTGGCGCCAAACTTATTCAAATTTAATTGGTTTTCCTTACGGCTATTGACATTTCAGCCAATCATGATCACTGTTTTGTTATTAGAAATCGCAAAACGCGGGCTTTTATGTTCATTCAATGTTTTGAACATTTTGAATTAGCAAAGAAGTGCTGCGAAGTAGGGAAGTTGTTTTGTTTCTGTTCGTATTTTCTGAACGCCATGCCTCCTGTTCCAGTTGTAAATTCCGATGTTGGCGAGAAGCTTGCAAATGAATCGACGTCAAGCGAAAGCCTGGATCGGTCAAACTCCCTCGACAAGACGAACGAGCCGTTCTTGGATGAAGAGAAGGGCGAGCAGAAGATAGCCTTGAAAAAGAACGTTTCTATTGTCAATGGAGTCGGTCTTATCGTAGGAACAGTCATTGGTTCTGGTATTTTCCTCTCACCGACTAGCATCCTCGTAGAAACGAATTCGATCGGTGCTTCCCTTCTCGTGTGGCTCGGCTGTGGATTGTTGGCACTCTTTGGCAGTCTCTGTTATGCGGAATTGGGGACGATGATCACCAAATCTGGCGGTGAATACTCGTACCTTATGGTAGCATTTGGTCGTATCCCTGCCTATCTGTTCGCCTGGACCTCTGTGTTAATCATACGGCCGGCTTCGGGAGCCATAATCGCCCTGACCTTCGCCGAGTACGTCGCGAAGCCATTTTATCCCGACTCCCAACCACCAACATATCTCTTGAAGCTCCTCGCCTGTTCCTGTCTCGGTAAGATGTCAGCACTTCTTCTTTATATTTCAAGAAATAGTTTAAGATGTTTTGTTTTACAGTTGCATCGTAGGATTCAAAACCAAGTCGTAGAATTCACGCATTGTTGATTTCAACAGCGGGTGTAAAAACGTGGTAAAACGTGTCGTATTTTGGCGGGATTTTATATTTTTGTAAGCTGACCTGTGACCTGTTCTCATTTTACCAAATTTTACCAAAAAACATAAAGCTAGTTCCCGGAATGAAACAGAAAATTTCAGAAGTAAATCTCTGTAATATAGGCTTGGAGTTCACCGGTGATTGCGGGAAGCCATTTTACGGGAAGCCATTTTGCAAGCACGTGCTTTCTCTTGCGCTTTCGGGCCGAGGCCGTGTGAACAAATTTGCGTGTCAAATAAGCCTTTGAGTTTATTCGATTGAAAATCGAGAGAGACCACAAGTTATTACCTTTATTAACTTTATGTCGGCAAATCCCAACAGACAGACCTGTCATGTATTGATATTTTGGCAAGGATGAATGAAGTCTTGGCGCTTCACGCCCGAAATCAATATCGTTGCATCATTTGAGATTAATTTATTCGCAGATCAAGAATAAATAATTACCGAAAGACACATTCTCTAGTTCGTTTAGTGTCGTTACGAGCAACAACGTGAACATTTATCGCTAATTATGGCATCGGAAGCTGAAGAATTTTCATTTTGAGTTGAAAAACTACTTTGAAAAAGTTTATGTACTGTACCAATCTTATTTAACTTAAGAAATAAGCTTATATTGGCCTGTCCCTTTCAATATCGCCCAAAAATGTTTTGGTTTCCCGGCTTAACCGATATAATTTTCATCAATTAAGCTCAAAACCTATTATTTTAGGTTTCAGGGGTTCTGAAGATTAACTTCCTTTATTTGCTGTCGCTTCTCCCGGCTGTATCCTCGAGGGAGGCTGAGTCACGCAAAAAGTACTTCAAAGTGCCTCATCCCTAGATTATTTCCTGGGGGGGCGAAGGAGGGTGTCAGACAAAGTCTCCTCTTCCTCATATTCTCATATTCTCTTCATCTTCCTTCTTAATTTTTTTGAGGGTATCATCTAGATAATAATAGAATTGAAAATAATAAGAAAATTTAAAACATGGCAACGTTTTGATATGAAATGCTTAGGCTTGGTGTTCCCAGCATATATAAGCTTTTATGCGCTATGCTTAGGCTTGCATGACAAGTGAGAACTTGAGAGATTTGATTTAACCTGTTAGCCCTGACAGAGCTTGATATGGCACAAAATGCTATTTTAAGCTGAAATTTAGTCAGTTTGTATGAAAGATCTTTGAGAGATCGCCATATTAGAAGCATAACATCATACCCTCTTCAAATTGATTAACAAACACTTTTATGGTGAAAGTGAAATCTGATATAAAAACCCTCACACCAAGAGCTGCAAATTAATCTGTTATTTAGGGGCATACCCAATAAATACAAGGAATAGGGCAGTTCAAATGTTTTTCTTTTTCCATTTGGACACTCCTCAATCCAATCTGTGAAATTCTGTACTTCTGTTGTGGTAATTTATTACATAGCTCAGTCAATGCCTTATATTATATGTATTTGGGTCTACTAGAAAAAAATGTAATATTCCTGACATTCCTTCAAGGACTTATTGCTCAGTGAAAATATGAGTATATAATTAATTTTCAAGAATTTATAGAACCAAGTGCTGTTTTTTCTGAACATCGAGAAAGCAATTTTTTATAGATTTTGCAGTAGATAGTGGGAATTACTGCTGACAGACTAGAGTATAGAGAAAAACCCAAGTAAATTGATCAAAGAAAAATGTAAATCAATCTGTTTCCTTCCATTGAAAAAAGAAACACCAAGATGGCAATGATAAGATATGTCATATAGCAATATGCATGTACTGTACCTTCAAAAAAAAATTAATTGGGTACTTTGAAATAAGAAATTAAAAAATGGTCGAAAATAAGATATTTAATTTAAGGTTAGTATACTGATAAAAACAAGATGTGGCTATAAGATTATCCTAAATGTTCTTCAAATTTGTTTTTGGAGTCATGTGCAATGCTCCTGTTGTTGTTGTTGTTGTTTTTTTTT